GAAGTCACAGAAAGAGGTCTCTCACCACCAATTAATTACTCATCCCCCAGTAGCCATTCCAAGGGCCTGAGACATTGAGGCTAGAGAAGCAGCTGGGCCTTGTATTATGTGATTTCTATGCTGATGCTATGATGCCACCAGACAGGAAGGAAAGAATGCAAGAAAGGGAATTTGAAGTTCCAGATTCTCAGCAGCACAAAACTTCAAGTTTCTCCTTTGGGTTAATCTCATCTCTGTGCTCCACATTTACTCATTAAAAAAAAAAAAAAAAAAATCTGTTAAAGGCAGGAATACACACACCCTCCCAAGAACAAATATTAATTCTTCCAGGACACAGAAACAAAATACTTCACCAGGTACCTCATGATTAATGTTCTTTCTCATTCTTAGCATGTTTGATTTCTTTCCTACTTCCCCTTCAAGCTAACTAGAAAAATTAAAGAACCTTATTGCCCTTATTATTTCATGAGAGAGGCTTTGAAATGCTAAAGATCTTTTGTTCTTATCATTCTTCATCTGCAGAAAAGAAAAAGGGATGCTCAGTGCTCTAATTACATACATCTAACAAAAAGATCATGCTATACATTCTTATATAACTTGTTTTATTTACTAGCATATAATAACAAATTCCATTTCAAAACTATGCCTCTGTAATGTTACTTTTAGTGGCCTCATGGTGATCTATTTAAATGATATGTCATTTATTTAATCAATTACCTACTGTTGGACATGTATGTTTATTATTTTTATGGTATTAACAATAAGCAATGAGCATCTATATAGCTAATTTTTGCTATTTGATTATTTTCTTAGGGAAACTACCAGAGGAGAAAATATTGAGTCATCCATTCAATTTCAGCCCCACAAAAACAATGATAGAGCAGATGTATAGGGCAGAAATTATCACAGAGATTAAATTAAATATCCAAGCTCATTCAGTGGCAGATTTTACCAGGTTTCCTCATTGCATGTCCACTCTATTCTCCACTGTCCAATCATCCACAGCTCCTTCAAGCTACCATGCTAGCCTCTGGTCACCACATTGGAAGGACAAGATACCACATAGGAGGGAAAATCCAGAACACTGTTGCTATTCATTGCTTTAGTTTTGAAATGTTGTTCTCAACTTGTTCTTTCCACTTGATTACATTCTTCTCCAGATCTTTCAGTACATGGACCTTGCTGCTTAGTGTCCTGTTTTTGTTTTGATTTGTTTTTTCACCTCATCTTAGGCTTCAAAATTGACATTTTCCTAGATATTTAGGTGGCTCTTAATTATTATTTGGGCTGGCAAGTTCCTTAAACAAGCCTAGGAAGTTCTGATGAAATTTGTCTGGATTATCAATTTGGGAACTACAGACTGGGGGAAATGACTACGAGAACTCAAAAGGATCCAAGATCCACTGTAACTTCCTCTTGTTATTTTTGTTCTATTGGTTATATTAGTCAGGGTTTTCTATATATATATAAATGGAGACTTATTATAAGGAATTGGTTCACATTACTATGGAAGCTGACAATTCCCAAGATCTGCAGTCAGCAAGCTGGAGACCCAGAAGAGCCAACTGCATGGTTCCAGTCTGAAAGCCAGCAGGCTTGAGACCCAAGAAGAGCCAATGTTTCAATTCAAGTCCGAATGCAGGAAAAGACCAAATGAAGTCCCAGCTCAAAAACAGGCAGGAAGAATTTCCTCTTACAAGAGGAAGGGTCATCCTTTTTGTTCTACACAGGCTGTCAACTGATTGGATAAGGCCCACATACATTAGGGAGGACAATCTGCTGTATTCAGTCTACCAATTCAAATGTTAATCTCATCCAGAAAATTCTCACAGACACACCCAGAAGAATGTTGATAAACTATCTAGGCACCCCTTGGCCCAGTCAAGTTGACATAGGAAATTAACCATTATACCAATATTAGCAGTAATACAAAAAAGAAAAAAAAAATCTGTCTCATTTTTAAGAACAGATTAATGGACATCTTGTAGATGGCATCCAATCTAATGGCCAATCTTATGAGTAAGACATCCCAAAGAATAGTTATTGCCAATTTTAAAAATGGAATGAAAAAGGATGTATTTATGAAACCTAGAACAATGTTTCTCAAACAATTTGGTCATAGGACACTTCATACTCTTAAAAATAATTGACATCCTCATGAAGCTATCATTTATGTGGGTTCTATTTATCGACATTTACCACATGATGAATTAAAACCAAGAAGGATTTAAAGCATGGTAATATGCAAGCACACCATCCATTAGCCCTTAGAGCAATGATGTCACCACACATCACTCAGCCTCTAGAAACTCCAATGGGCAATCATGAGAGAAAAAGAAAACAGGTAGTTAAAACTTTGGTAGTATTATGAAAATAGTTTTGACCTCATACAATCCTTGAAAATGTCACAGGGAACCCTCATATGTATTTGGGTCACACTGAGAACTTCTGGCCTAGAGGAAGTAAGAAAAAAAATCATAGAATAAACTAATCAAACATGTAGTAATGTTCCTGAAGGCTTAACCACCAAGAAACCATTTGGAATCCACTCTCCCTTAATACATTTATGGATGGATATAAATAGAGATATTAAATAGAGAATTAAAAGTAGGATGAGAACAAATTACGTGTTATCATTGATCAGCAGGATAAGCTGAAAAATAGATTTGGACAGAAACAGGAAGAAAAAGAGCAGCCAACCATAATAATTAACTGTATGAATATGACATTTGCAGGATGGGGAAGGAAGGGAGAAGAGCCAAACATCCAAATTGCTCTAGGTCTGCCAAGATGGAGTACCAGGGACTGGATTTACCATACTGCTGAAACAATTTAAAAAACAAACAAAATAAAA